CTGTGACTCCCTTCGCTTTCTAAGCACACACGACGATTACGAATGATACTCTCCGTCTTCCGGGACCATCACAGGGGCACTTCTCCGGTCACGTCTTCGCTACATGTGCTCGCAAACCGCGTCAAACCAAAACAATACTGCCGCCGCCGCCGCCTTGTTGAACGTGCGTTGTTGCTAGATTTTCTCCGACCAAACAAAAACAACGAAAGCAAACCGGCTCTAGCTTCCAGCGTACATCGGCGCTGCGCCGTGGCCAGATTTTCTCCGTCAGCTCTAACTTAAAGATGACCTACAGATGCAGCAACACTCGTATCAAGTTTTAACATGGCGGCCCCCACGGAGCGCCGTAAATTCTGAGGAGGGTGCATTGGAAGCGGCGGCACCTTCCCCCCCCTGCTCTCGGCAGCCCCTACACACCTGTGACCTTCCTTTGTTGTGTGCATACATGTCACTACTAGCCTCGACGGACCGAAGACGCGATGGACCGCCCTTCCTTTCATGTGAGTAACAGAGAGAGGACCTCTTGACCATCGGGGACATGTGTTCTTGCTACACAATGTACGCTTTGTCATGATCCGATGAGTTTGGACTGCGTCGAACTCTGTGACAGGAATCTCCGACGAGTCCAGCCTGTAACCCACAGAGATCGGCCCGACAGGCCTTGTACAGCGCTAATTGTAAGTGTCTTTTTCTTTTTATTCAAATAGATTGTTAGGGACAAACTGATTGGTTATTTTATATGTTCGAAGTCATTTTTATTTTAATTTCCTGTTGAGATATGGGTGTCTTCGTGTCGCAAGATGTATGTCTAAAGCTGAATACCACAGAAGCGTTGGTTAACCCTTATCTGCCCATATTCGGTTTGTTGGCTGGAAGTGGAGTTTAATTTATATCAACGCGCTATTTGAGTGTATTTGCCTGTAATTTTCTTTACTCGTCAAGATTTTTTTTACGTGCGTGATTTATGTGAAATGCTTGATTGATTCAAGCGTTATGTTCTGTTCAGCTGGAATGTTCCTCTCGTATAACAGGCTATTTATTGAACTGTTAATTTCGTAGCACATTTGACACTGGTGAGCTTGAAAAAGGCCAGCGATTTGGTTTATAACTTGTAAATAATATGAAGGAAACACTTGTACATTTGTAACTACACATTTCTGTGCCGCAAATGCCGTAAATGTAAAGAAGTTTTTTTTTCCAAATCAATGTAGAGATATAGGTGTTAACTTAAATGGTGAGATTGTAATTAGGAGGTCTTAAGGCTAGATGAAGGGTTGAGGAACCCTATGATGTTGCAAGAATAGGGCTAAACAATTTTTGGATTAACCTTTCTACTATTTGATTAATTTCTTCAATCACTATCAATATTTAATACTAGATCGGTTGAGCTCTGAGTTAGGACAAGTCGGGCGAACAAAACAACAGTTAACGCCTATGCCGGGTTGCTGGAAACAGCGTCTCAGCTGAGACTAGGGAAAACACTGTCAAAGCCAGCGCAAAAGCTGAGCGGGACTCATACCTCGTCTCAAGAGGCGCGCGCCCCACCCTTTGCAGTGCTTTTTTTCACCCATTGTCGGCTGGGGTGCTGATTGCAGCAGGCCGGCCCAGGTGTCTTACTTGCTCATCTATTTGTTATATAAGGCAGTACTGCTATCTCCTAGAATACTCAAGTTTATTGTATACAAAATAACGAAAAATATTCGCTGGAAACGAAAGTTTTCATTATAGAAATGTAAACATTAAAAGAGTCGTAAGGCCTTTTTGAGATTTTATGTTAGAGAGCAACTGAATCGATTAATCGAACAGTCGATTAAAGGGCGACGAATAATAAAGCTATATTTTATTTCGATATTCATAATTTACAAGGGTAGGAGAGAACTGACAGTGACTGAAAATGAAAGGTAAACGAGTATTTAAAATTACAGTGGTATGAGGTGGCCTAGTGGGAACTGGCATTTGGATTGAGGCCCTCGCTTCTGTTTCTTTTAGAACTGTGTGCCCAGAACTTTGCGTGGGATCCCATCACGTTCTTGCCCGGTTCACAGCTTGCAGGGGTGAATCCTGGCACTCCTTTTTTCTTTAATTTGTCTTTAATTGTAATACTTAATAAAATGTATTGACAATACACTTTGAATTGCATGCTTCTATATTCACCTGGATGCGATAAAAAAAAATTCCACAGTGAATGTGGCTTGTTTACTGCAGCTTTCTTTTCAGATATATGTAGTGTTCAACTGATCACTATAAATACATCTGACAAGAAAGCTGCATGTCCGCTAAAATGGCTGCCGAAAATAGTACAACCCGCGCTTGAAATCGGATGTCAAACTTTAAGTAGCCAGGGCATAAGGTTGGGAGCTAATATTGGATAAGCCAGTGATTAAACTTTGATGCCAATTTTTGTTGTATAGGATTCACAATCAATAGTGGTCGAATGATGGCTTAGGTGTTGGTGAAATTGCGGCCCAATGTTGGGCTTAAATTCTGGTTAAAAGGCGGTTCAACGATGGCATAAATGATGGTCCAATATTACCCTAAACATTGGTTGAATCGTGGTCCTACATTGGCATTAGTTAATGGTTCAACGTTGGATCGGGTAGCGGTTTTGAGAAAATCAACATTAGGCCAACATTGGAGACAATGTTTGACAGTTGCGGGCTTGTTTGGTCAAGCAATGGTGTGCGGCTTGGAAGTTGGGGCGCAGTAATCGTCTAAGAGATAAGGCACTATGTTTTTTTGTTTTTTTTTTTATTTGCGGAAGTGATGTGTTTTGTCGTCTGCTCTCAAGCGCGTTCTCGCTGGACGGAATCATCGGTCTTCCTCACGCAGATTTCGTCTGCGACGCAGATGACTTCTACAGCCATTATATAGAGCTGTGACTCTAGTGTGTAGTTACCTCCAAGCATGCTTTGCGATCCGTGATCCCTCAAGTTTAGCAGACCGTTTTTGCACCTTCGATACGGTACTTCAGCGGTGCGATCGGCCATGGAGTAGTTATGCCTGGGCGCGTATCGGGCCAGCTGGAACCACGGCTACTGTTCTCGCACCGATTACAAAATTTTGATTCCGGTGTCGTAGCGGGACTCAACAGGTTTTAATCAGGACTGAAAGTAAACATCTTGCTGTCCTTTAGCTGCGGCAAGTATATTTGAGATGGCTAAAATTGGTGATAGAAAGAAAGGAAAAAAAAAAAATAAAAACAGGAGATGTGCGTTCTCGTTTTTTCTATTTATATTCTTAAAAGTTGTCGCAAAATCCCTTATGCGTGCAAGGCCTAGCGGATAAGGGGTCTGCTACTTTGGCCTACGTAGCCGAGTGGATTTTCAATTAAAAATATTAAGGAAACCAACCCGTCCTGGGTTTCGAAACTCAGGACGGGTTGGTTTCTCTCATATTTTTCCTTGTGAAAGGTTTGCTAATAAACTGTGCGTTAAAAAAAGAAGAGAAAAAAATACCAGGTTTCTAGAATAAACTTGTCAGACCAAACAGGTCTCCAAACAAAAAGGAGCGAAAACAGGGCGCGCCATCTATCGGTCTTCTTTTCAACGAATTCCCGCGACGCCGGAGTAGCCGCGCGTGTGCTGATCGCTCTAATCCCCACACCCGTTCTCGGCCCTTTCGCCTCCCTTAGCCTTGCCTTCCCCCCTCTTTCGGCCTCGACACCCCTCCCGGCCCTTTCGCAGTCGTCGGCCTAGCCCCCGCGCTCGGCAGTTCCGGCTCGCTCGGCCCTAATCCACACTTGGCCCTTTCGCGAGGGCCGGCCGAACTGGTAGTGACCCCCTTACGTCAAAGGAGCATGCGCCCTATAAACGACCTTGGAAAGCTATGTTTTATTCTGTTTTTTTTTTATTTTTTTATGACCGCTTACTGGAAAATTTGAGGATCGAAAAAACCACCGTCGTAACAGTGATAACGGATTGTACGTACACGTCAACGTAGGTTTCATTTTTTTAATTTTTTTTTATGCAGAATAATTTTTTTTTATATATTTGGAGCTAGCCGGGTCGAAACTGGGGGAATCGGTTTCATATAGGACAGTCACAATAAAATGCACTGTCAAGAAAGCTCGTTCGCGTCAGCCTTGACAACGCTTTTTCTTTAGACACTCTTAGGTAAGACCGACTAGTTTCATTTTCACCAGACCGACTCTTGACTCGAAGCCCAAGACTCCCCGCTCTTAGTATGCGGAACTCCAACCTCGTGTCTGCTGCCTACTCGTGCCAGTTTTCGCTGCACACTATTCTCGGGGACTTCTGTTGGCATTTCAGAGGAGAGGAGGACAGGGCGCGCGCAGCTTTAATCGGAGCCCGAAAGAGAAGAGGGGACGCGTGCCCGTACCTTTCACTGCATTGCCAAGAAAAGTTGTCACGGAGTGTAGACTCGTTTCGAAAGCAAATCGAGCAACATTAGCTGTCGCCATTTCTCGGGCACGGAGCGTGCGATTGGATCCGAATCCTTGCCGAACACTGACGTAGTACTCGCTTTCGATGCGTGCCAAGCCGAACCTATGCGGAGCGCAAGTTCGTCTGCTCCTTGCGCAGGGGTCGGTGACGTCAGAACGCTGAGCTCTGATTGGCTGGGATGGAGGTATGGTGGACAGATCTCAATGCTAGCCGCCTCAAGGTCTACCCACTGTCCTTCCAATCGCAGCCAATCGGAGCTCGGCGTCGTCCTGACGTCACCGCAAGCCCTGCTCAAGAAGCAGACGAACTTGCGCTCCGCATAGGCCGAACGCTGATGCCCCTTCGGTGCCAACGTATACATCGTATTATATAATACTGTATGTCCTCAAACAGCGATGGACTCGGACAGTTGGTGCAGTAGATGGCGTACGCTTTTGAAAAGTATCTCTCGGATGAAGTGGTTTGTTCCTTTCTTTTACGACTTTTGCGCTGGTGGGCGTCGCCCGCCTCGGGGTACCGACTATATATAGTCACGCTAACAGGATGAAAGTGCAAAATGAGCCTCTCAAGGTTCGTTTCGCCCTTCGATGTTCGCAGTACACGGTGGAGAAGGTTTACGAGCACCAGGAGGGGATGGAGCGCCTGCTGCGGCACCTCGAAGAGCGGATGGACATCCTGGCCCAGCAGGGACATCGGCTCGAGAAGGCGCTCAACGCGCTCGGGCAACGCGCCCGGGGCGGTAGCGAACGCGGCTCGACGGGGTCCACGTCCCCCGACGACGTCTGACGCCCGGACTCTCTGTACATCCGCTGTCCGACTGAGCTGCCGGGTGTAATAGACATTCTACACCGCGGTCTCACCGCTAACACGTCATACAAAAGACTGTATAGAGGCACCGTGCTAGGCGTGTTTGTTACTCGTATAGTGGTCCTAGTCACATTAGACGTACGAAAACTCTCTGCAGACATCTTGAAGCCTACAAATGTACGAAGCAAACGCGCTTTGAACAAGCTACAGACGGGCCCGCAGAACCTTCTGTCATGGCGTCTGCAGCAAACAGAGTGTAGTTTGTACGGTGTACAAGACGTCCGACTGCGGCTTTAGGGTACCACTTGAGGCAGCATCGACTCGACGGACGCCACAATTTCAGCGTCGCTTCCAGAACAAAGCTTACCATTGGACCTTGGTACACACCGATAGTATACGCAGCGCTCGTTTACGATGTATGCTCGGGATATGTGCTCACAAAGCGATGGACTCTCAGAAGCTACTATACAACGTTACTCGATCAACTCAGTTGGCAAACTCCCACGGAGAGCGTGATCCCTTCTAAGACACGCGCTGACACACGTCAGTTTCCGCTGATAACCACAGATTCGGAAATGCTGTTTGAAGCGTCATCCTTCTTGCCCGCTGCGGCCGTGTTTTGAACTGCTGTTGCAAGACACGCCGCGGCGAGCAAGAAGGTTGGCGCTTCGAGCAGTGTTAGCCCGGCTGAGGGGTACGAGGAGGGATCACGCTCTCCGAGGGAGTTTGCCAACCGAGTTGATCGTGATCGAGTAACGTTGGCTACCATGGGCGTACCAACCGGGTGGGCAAGGGGGGCGCTCGCCCCCCTCTTCCCCCCCCCCCCCGTTCTCAGAGTGGGGGAGGGGGGGGGGGCAAAACATGTGTTTTGCCGCCCCCCCCCCCCCCCCCCCCCCTGAAACAGCCGCCGCTGGGCCGCGCAAACACTGGCCGGCGGCGCCCAAGGGATACCAATGACAACCCCCCCAGGGAGGGGGAATCTGGTTTGCCCCCCCCCCCCCCCCCCCCACCCACTCAAAAACAAGTTGATACGCCACTGTTGGCTACCATACACTTCGTTTCATCCGTATACGTTGGAGCTTAGTCAATGGCTCAAGGACATACAAACACATACGCGCAGACTGAAGCTCCAAGATCACTGCGCACCCTTTCTGTCCATTGGATGAGCCGGCGATGACACACGGAAGGAGAGAAAGAACGCCATGAGGTTGCGGTTTTGGCGCTGCCTGATCGGTCCCGTCGGCAGGTTGCGTTGGCTACGCTCCGACGTAAGGTACGACAACGTTACAGATGGCAGGCAACTTTTAAAGAGGGTGGGTATTTTCTGCCACGCGTAGGCGAGCGGCTCGGTGTAAGTATTGAAACCGCACAATCTACTAACAATTAGCGAGTCAAGACGACGTATATCCTTTAATGGAACCTGCCTGCATTCCCTGAAAACAGCGAGAGTGCAGAACTGTACGCGTGTTCTGCATCACCCTCTGCTTCCTTTTTAGTGTTGACAAAAAAGTATCGTGAACGGTCACAGTTTGCACATCAGGGTATTATAGGCTTCGAGCTGAAGAGCTTGATGTGAAGCTGCGGTATACTACTAAAGAGCCAACATGATTCCAGAACGTTGCCTTATTTTTATGTCAAGACATATATCAGGCGCTTGTCGTCGCCAGACATCATTCTTTATGCGGGTAAAAGCTGAGGGAGAGGAGCAGATGAGAGTGCGTGGGAACGCAAAGCTAGCTGTGTTTGTCTCTACTCGGTGTTCGAACGCGTCCAAACGTGAACGCTGGACGCGGGCGAACGAACGCGTTTGAACAGTGAGCAAAGGCAGATAGCTTCGCATCTACCCACTGATCCTTCCAACCAGAGCACGGCGCTCTGGCGCCCCCAAGCGTTCTCGCCATTTCTTCTCCCTCAGTTTGTGCCCGCTAGCCTTGAATGACGCGCCGTCTTAAAAACTGAACATGCTAGCATGATAGGTAGATATTGGGATACATAATCACGATGAACATATATATATAGGGATATGTATGTTTTATACACAACCAGCGTGATTTACACTAGAACATACGAACACTCTAGTCGACTATAGGTCAGCAGCTTAGACGTCGCTTTTCATTTTTGCATCGAAGAGAGACGGATTCTTAAAAAAATGGAATGTCTGTGATAAGGTAAACTCCCTTCAATTCATTCCCTTCTAGCGACTATAGTTCAGAAATTCCAACTTGTTTTATCGAACGAAGTGCAATAAACTGTCTACGGTATTATTACAGGTATATCGTTTGTTCGAGTTTCTTTCTTTATTAATACTGTTAACCTCTTTCGAGGTTGTTACAGGAGTGGATGAAACATAATATCACACAGTTTGCACTTGCTGCAATAACTTGGAACAAAAATCTAAGAAGTTAGTAGTATTTACGACATCAGGTGGCAAACTATTCCAATCAATAATTGTTCGAGGAAAGAAGGAGTATTTAAATCCGTCATTTTTATAACTATATGGCTTTATTGTTCTGCTGTGAAAATGCCTAGTAGACCTGGGGCAAAAAAATGTAATGTAATCATCTTTTGTCTATTCCAAGCTCGTCGTTAACGATAAGGTAGAGAAATTTTAGACAATTTATTCTCCTTTTTTCCTGTAGGGTTTCCAGGCCCGCCTCAGCGCAAAGTTTTGTGGGGGACACATAAGAGGAATACATATTGTCACGGGTGGTGACCAAAATAAAAGGAAATAAACGGGAAGAAATAAACGTTTAATGTGGCGAACTTGTGCCAAAAAAATAAGGGAGAACAAAGATAATAACAGAGCGTCGCGGGCGTCGAAGTCGGCGTTAGCAGCACAGTCGAACGCTGGAGCGAAACTGACTCGACAAGGTCGCGGACGGCCTCTTATCTAGAGTTAGTCACTATCTCGAAGATTCGGCGGAGAAGGTTCGAGCGTAGCGCGCTCGGGGCGAGAATGAACAAGCACTTTCTAGAACAACAAAAACAAGGATGAACGATAGTTATGTCCGCAGCAAGAATGAACGAGAACGTTCTAGAAGTCCGTGACCCTGCGCGGCATTATCCCCCCCTTTAAAAAGTGCATCGTCCCGATGCAGCACAAAACGAAGAACAACAAACAGAAACAAATCCAAAACAAAAAGGCAGCAGAATCGCGAGTCGCGGTTCACAGTTCACAGTTCACCCGTCGACGAGAGTGGAAAGTTCTATCGTTCGTAATACGGCTTCAGCCGGACGACGTGCACCACCTCGGGTCGCGGCTGACGTCTTGCAGATGGGCGCGTTCCGTCGGGTAGAACTTCGTAGTTCAGATCGCCGAGGCGTCGGATGATCTTGTAGGGTCCGAAATAGCGTTTCAGGAGTTTTTCGCTGAGACCGCGACGACGTATTGGTGTCCAAACCCATACCCGGTCTCCGGGTTGAAAGTGGACGTCCCGGCGACGAAGGTTATACCGGCGTGCGTCGACTCGCTGTTGGTCTTGAATCTTGACTCTTGCCAGTTGACGAGCTTCCTCCGCGCGCTGGGAGATGAGTTGAGCGTCGTCGTTGACATCACCGGTTGGCACGTGAGGCAGCATGGCGTCGAGCGTCGTGGTAACCGTTCGGCCGTGTACCAGTTGGAACGGTGTCATTCCCGTGGTTTCTTGAACCGCTGTGTTGTACGCAAACGTGACGTACGGCAGCACCTCGTCCCATGTCTTGTGCTCTACGTCGACGTACATGGAAATCATGTCGGCGATGGTTTTGTTGAGTCTCTCCGTCAGCCCGTTGGTCTGCGGGTGGTACGCCGTGGTGCGACGATGGCTGGTGTGGCTGAGACGAAGGACCTCTTGCGTCAGCTGGGCCATGAAGGATGACCCGCGATCTGTAATCAGTACTTCAGGTGCGCCGTGTCGAAGGAGAATGGACTCGACGAAAAATTTGGCAACTTCCACGGCTGTTCCCGATGGCAGGGCTTTCGTCTCGGCGTATCGTGTAAGATAATCGGTCGCGACGATAATCCACCGATTTCCTTGCGTCGATGTTGGGAACGGCCCAAGCAAATCCATTCCGACTTGCTGGAAAGGCCTAGTCGGAGCAGGTATCGGCTGCAGGAGTCCTGCTGGCTTCGTCGGAGGCCTCTTACGTCGTTGGCACTCATGGCACGACCTTGTGTACAGATGGACTGTTTTCGGGAGTCTCGGCCAGTAGTACTTGTCACGAATCCGGGCGAGCGTCCGGCTGTAGCCAAGGTGTCCAGCCGTCGGGTCGTCGTGGCATGCTTGAAAGATTTCTTCTCGCAGGCTGGCCGGAACAACCAGCAGCCAAGCAGGGTTGCTCGTTCCGAAGTTCTTCTTGAAGAGCACACCTCGCCGCAGAACGAAGCTTGACAAGTCTCGGGCCAAGACTCGCGGAACTGAACTTCCTTGGCCTTCGAGGTGTTCGATCACGGCGCGAAGTTCCGGGTCGTCTCGTTGAAGTGCTCCCATGTCGGCATCTGTCACTGCACCGAGAAAACGGGCGTCGTCGTCGTCGTTAGTGCTTTCGGGAGGAGATTCGACTGGGGCCCTAGACAAACAGTCGGCGTCGTTATGCTTGCGGCCAGACTTATGCACAATGGCCACGTCGAATTCTTGCAGTCGCAGACTCCAGCGAGCGAGGCGTCCTGACGGGTCCTTGAGGTTGGCGAGCCAACAGAGAGCGTGGTGGTCCGTGACAACGCGAAACGGGATCCCGTACAGGTACGGGCGGAACTTGGTTAACGCCCAGATGACAGCGAGACATTCCTTGTCGGTCGTCGAGTAATTTTTCTCTGCCTTAGACAGTGCCCGGCTTGCGTAAGCGATCACCCTCTCTGCTCCGTCTTGTCTTTGGACGAGTACCGCGCCGAGTCCGGCGTTGCTGGCGTCCGTGTGAACCTCCGTTTCCGCTGATGGATCGAAGTGTCCGAGGATAGGGGGCGACTGGAGTCTTTCCCTCAGTTCGTTGAACGCTTGTTCTTGCTCCTCCCCCCACTGGAAGTTCACGTCGTCCTTGGTTAGATGCGTGAGCGGTGCAGAAATCTTGGCAAAATCGCGAACAAAACGCCTGTAGTAAGCGCACAGTCCAAGAAATCTTCTTACGGCTTTCTTGTCTGATGGCTTGGGGAATTCTGCAACAGCAGATGTCTTGGAAGGATCAGGGCTTACACCCTGAGCACTCACGACATGGCCGAGGAATTTGAGCTCGCCGTAAGCGAACCGACATTTTGACGGCTTTAGTGTCAGTCCAGCATTCTGGATAGCCTGTAGTACGGCTCGCAAACGTCTCAGGTGCTCGTCGAAGTCGCTTGCGAATACCACGACGTCGTCGAGATAGACGAGGCAGCTTTGCCATTTCAAGCCGGAAAGAACGGTGTCCATTACGCGCTGGAACGTCGCCGGTGCTGTGCACAGTCCGAACGGCATCACTTTAAATTCGTACAGTCCGTCCGGCGTGACGAAGGCAGTCTTCTCACGATCCCGTTCGTCGACCTCGATCTGCCAGTACCCACTCTTCAGGTCCATCGACGAAAAGTATCGGGCATGGCGCAGCCGGTCCAGAGTGTCGTCGATGCGTGGCAGCGGGTAGACGTCCTTTTTCGTTACGGCGTTTAGTCGGCGATAGTCCACGCAGAACCGAAGAGTCCCGTCTTTCTTTTTCACCAGGACTACCGGTGAAGCCCACGGGCTGCTTGAGTGCTGGACAATGTCGTCATCGAGCATTTCTTGGACCTGCTTCTGGATGACTTCTCTTTCTTTTACGGAAACACGGTACGGCGACCGATGCACAGGAAGCGCGTTGTCTTCAGTGACAATTCGATGTTTCGCAACGGTCGTTTGGCACACCTTTGACGACGTGGAGAAGCACTCATTGAACTCGGCGAGAAGGTCACTGAGTTGTCGTCGTTGTGGGGTAGGCAGGGTTGGGTCGATGTCAAACTGCGAAGGCGGCGTTGTCTTAGGTGGCCACGAAGAGAGGTCTTCTGATATTCCGGCGATTGCGGCTGCGTCCGGGAGTTCCTCGGCGTGGCCCACGGCGGTGCCCCTCGTAAGGTGCTGGGCCTCCTGTCGGAAGTTCGTTACGAGTGCGACAGTAGTGCGTCCGTCTTGGAGCTCCGTGACGCCTCTTGCGATGCCGATCCCTCTTCCTAGAAGCAACTGGAGGCTTCCTTCGAGCAAAACGTCGCCACAGAGAGTCTCATCGACCCCGACGGGTACGAAAACACTTGACTGCGGCGGTAGGTTCACGTGGTTTGCGAGGACTCGTACCGCGGATGACGTCATTTTGGGGTCCTCCTGTGGTGGAGCAGGTTTTCGAAGCGTCAGCCGGTTTGCTCCGAGGTCGATGACGGCGCCATACTCGCAGAGAAAGTCCATTCCGAGGATAACGTCCCTCGAACAGTCTGGCAGAACGACGAACTTGACAGGGCACGTCTCACCGTGGATCTCGACGCGAGCAGTGCATCTCCCGACCGGTGTGATGAGGTGCCCTCCGGCGGTTCGTATCTGAGGTCCATCCCACGGCGTCGTGACTTTCCGAAGGCGGCGGGAGAGCCTCCCACTCAAGACTGAGTAGTCTGCCCCAGTGTCCACGAGCGCTGATGCGTCGTGGCCGTCGATGACGACGTTTAGGTTATTGGACACCGTTGCAGGGGCGTGGTTTCGATCTCTGGTAGCGTTCGAGTGGGGGCCCTCCGACGTTCGTGGAGGATCTTGGCGTCGGTCGTCTTCGGCAACTCCACCTCCAGGGGTTGCCGCGCCTAGTTTCCCCGGCGAGGAGCGAGGGGCGACAGGCTTTCACGTCGGGGTCGGTGCATCGGCGAAGCTGGACGTCGTGGCGACGGCGACCGGAACTCTCGGCGGGACGTAGGCTCAGGGGACTGAGGTCGTCGCAGGTACTCGTCGATCTCCCGAGGGCGTTCACCATAACGGGGTCGCGGGTCGTTCGGGTGGAACCCGCGAAGCCCGAGTCGTCGGTATGGGCATCGGCGGTAGGTGTGGTCCGCTTCCCCGCAATGGAAGCACAGAGGGCGTCGGTCGGGCGTTCGCCACACGTCGGTCTTGCGGGGTGCGCGAGGCTCCGGGCAGGCGTACTGGATCTGGTCGTCGTGGTGTCGGTCGTGCTGCGGCGCAGGAGACTGACGTCGGGGCGACGCGACATAGGTGCGACGAGGAGGAGGCGGTGGCCGTCGAGCCACTGCGGCGTAAGTCAACGTGGGCTCCTCGGGGGCTGCCACGACGACGGGAGCCTCTTCCTGGAAGGTTCTCTGAAC